AAAACCGAAAAAAAAGAAAAAAAGGACCTTTCATGTGTTTTTTTTTTTTTTCGCTTTGACACTAGAACTACCAAAATGGTCAAAACGACCATTTGAATATTTTTGTTAAATATTTTATAGATGTGAAACAGTATATTTTTGGAGACTTGAATGATCCTTCATAAAATACATAAATAAAAGTTTGTGTATCCTGTCGTACTACAAAGAAATTTTCTGTTTCATTTATTTTGACGTGTCTGATAGACATTTGATGCTTTGATCGTCTGTAATTCTAGTGTTAACGACGTTTTATTGATATTACGAGTTTTTCTTTCTCCTTTTTCGCGCGTCAATCTTCGATCGATGATCCTTTCTTTTTCAATATACGATGAAGCAGACCTCGAACGATTCGTTAGGTTTCTATGCCTCTGTTCGAAAGAGATCGAGAAAAAAAAAAAAGAAGATTGACAGTCCATCTCGAAACAGTCGTTCTCTGTGAATCATCGATCGCGAGTTTCTCGGTCAGATAAGAGCACGTACGAACGATTCGTCACGTTAATCCCGTTCTCAAAGCGTCGATTCAAAGAACGTTAATGAAAAGGAAAGAAAGAAAGAAAGAAGAAGAATCGACACGAATTCACGAAACGGTATTATAATATAACATAGGGTAAACTCGAACCTCATCGCAAGGTGAGAGACGAATCCGCGACTGGAATACTTTTCAGCTAGTGAGTTTTGTCATTTTCTCATTGTCATTCCCGTCGACAATAAGTGTTCTTTGTACTTTTCTACGGATGATCTTTGCTTTGAAAAAGACGAGAAAAAAAAGAAAAAAAAAAAATACAGAAAACGAGAGAAAGATACGCGCGAAAAGAACGAAGGAGAAAAGAGAGGCGAACTTGCGAGAGTTTACGCTCGTAGTACACACACACACACATACACATATGCGTGTTACACTCGCAGAGGGAAAAAGTTCGCGAACGTAGGTGTCCACGGCGTGGTAAAGATGAATTATTAAACAAAGTATAGTAGGGGCAAAAAAAGAAAAGAAAAAGAAAATAGAGAGAGAGGGGGAGAGAGAGAACATAGAAAAAAGGATGAGAGAACATAGAAAAAAGGATGAGGAACGAGAGTAAACCTGTATCTGTCACTCGTTGACGAAACATTTCCGAATTCTGCACATACACTCCTTCACTTTATCCATATTGCGATCGTGTTTTCACTTACAAAGAGGGATCGTCTCGTCCAACGAGTTCTCGTCGATCCAATTTACCTAATAATGTGTAAGAAGAATTAACTGCCGACGACTGATGAGACAGTGGGAAGCGGAAAGTATTAAAAGTAAATGGATGGAAAGAAAAAAAAATAAATAAAAGACTCGGAAAAATTAGAAAAAGAAAAGAAGAGAATGTACCGAAGGAACTGGTCGGGCGAAGACGATCGAAAATTACGTGTTGTATATATTAAATATATATATATATATAAAATAAATAAATATATATATATAAATATATTATAAATATTATGGTACGAGATTGAATATAATAGTAATGAATATATATATATATATATATATATATATATATATATATAATATATTCTGTGTCGAGGGCACTTGGCTTGCAATTCGTAAATATTAACGGAATACTTATTTATCCACTTGCACTCCAATTGCCGAGCGACCTGTCGTTATCCGTGAATTTTTCGAGAGGAAGACTATTATCTATTGGGGCAGAGTAATAAGATTATATATAACTTAAGCGCGAGTTTTAAAGGGGGGGGGGGGAGGGAGCGAACACAATTTGGGGAGATCGTCGTGTCCGGTCGTGGACGATCGAGAAAACGCGACCGGGGTGAGGAACAGTGCGGTTGGTAATGAAACCAAGGGCGGGATTATTTGGATTATTTAAGAAACAGAAGAATCGATGAAATCGCGAATGTACTTGTTGCCAATTAAGTACCATTTTGTATTATCGTGTTCGCGATGTCGAAGCGTTGTTCGTGCCGGATAAGGAGGCTGAGCCGCATCTGTGTGTCGACGTTTCGAGAACCCTTTGTTTCCGCTAAAATTGGGAGCACAAACTCGAGAGAGAGAGAGAGAGAGAGAGAGAGAAAAGAAAAAGAAAGGAAGAAAGAAACGCAGATATTTTTAAATACTTTTCAAATTGATTTCCCTGTGCGTTCATCTTCCTTGGTTGATATTTATGGGATCATTTTGGTCACGTTGCATTGCCAACCAGTTTATTCACGAAAAGTCTCGTTTGGTGGAACAAAACGGGTGTCTCGTTGCGTTCCCAGCGTAACTGCTGTGGTATATATTATGTGTACGAACGATTTAAACGTATTAGTGTATGTAATAGAGCCAAACGCGTAAGAGAGAAAGCAACACGCATGACAGACACGCGAGGGGATGATTCGATGATACGTTTGAGAATGTCTCGGTGTCCAGGGCCGGGCGAAATTTTTTTACACACGCGTACACCGTAGCTTTATACACGATTTCGATGCATTTTCACATGTGTGTTCATGTCCGAAGGAGCCAAATCTCTACATTATTGCCGATCGTTGCGACCGAGACCGTCATTTCTTGCAACAGGGTACAAAGACGTTTCAATTTTACTCGTACGTGCGAGAACATCTCTTCTACTTCACACACAGGGCATATATCTTCGACAATCTTTCCCGACATTATCGACGAAGAGATTTTTTTTTAAAAAGCGTCTTTCGACGAAACGTAGAACGAAACATATACCTCCGAGCGCAAGTGGTGTACGATGGAGCAGGCACGAACGAGAGGTATCCCGTCCGACGTGAAATGCTCGGTCTTTGCTAATCGCAACGAGTCGCGCACGAAACGAAATTTACAAGCGTGGGAGAAAAGAGAGCTACGATCAGCACAAAAGAAAATTACTCGTCGGAAATAACAATCACTGCCAAAGTAGCCCAACCCCTCCGGGAAATCATTTTTTCACGACAAGTCGGAGGCACGAACGGTAGATCTCGCTCCGTTTCGCCTCGAGTCCCCTCTCGAAGTCTTAACTCTTTAACGCGCGAGAAATGAATTTTCGTCGAAGAACGAAGGAGAGAGAGAGAGAGAGAGAGAATAATGGAAAAGAGTAGAAGAAAAGGAAAAAAAAATAGCAAAGAAATAGACGAGTATTCGTACACACACACAACCTGTGCTCGATCTGTTCGGCCCGCGTGCAACGCGACTACGACGAACGAAAGCATCGTCGAAACGATAATCGATCAACGCGAAAACGATTGGGTGGATGTGGGTGGGGGGAAGGAATCGGGGGAGCTTTAAGGGACACAGAGGTGGAAGTTTTTTTAAATGGGTAATTACGCGCGGATATACGTTGATGTACAAAAAAAAAAAGAAAAAAAGAAAAAAAAGAAAAAAAGAGAGAGAGAGAGAGAGAGAAAGGACAATTCCTTGCGGTAACATTTTTAATCGTTAAGCCACTTATTTCGTAATTCATTTCTATGGTACGCGTTAATTGTAACGTTAATTGATATTATTTAAACGCAACGATGATCATGCTGCGGTTATACCACTCTCGCACGCGCGTACGTCTATCGTGACACGTGCGCGTAAGTGCAGAGTCTAGATAGGCTAGATATTATCGACATTGGATGATTTTCCGTTCCGTTCGGTTTCTTTTTTTCTAGGATCTATCTAAAAATCTAAGGGCTACGGATCGATGGGCGAGAACGATTTTTCTTCTCGAGAATCGCGAAAGGGAAACGTGGCCAAGTTGAATATTTGTAAAACTTCTAACGAATTAACGACGAAAAGATTTTTAGTGTAATATTACGAGAAAGCATGATCGTTGGCCATACAATGGAGTATATATATATTATATATATATACATATATTTATGTTAAGTCTAGGTATATTGAATATGATTATTAAGATTAAAGATCACAAGGGATATTGGCGATCGCGAATACCTGAGAAGCGGTGTTCTCTGAAACATTTTTAAAATGTAAATGAATATCATCGGCGGAACGAGCACGAGCCTGTTTTATACAGAATTACAGAATAGGATCGATTACGTTCGAGAAATGTCGGTTTCCTAGAATCGTTCGTATATCTCACGATGTAACGATGTTTTCAAATTTTTTTCTTTTTTTTCTTTTTATAACGAGGGCCCAAAAACACGAGCGAAAACACTTTAAGAATACTTCAGAGATCGCTGGTTTAAACGTTAAACTTTAAAAGAAAGATTAAAAAAGAAGAAGAAGAAGAAGGAGGAGGAGGAGGAGGAGGAGGAACGATTTAAAAGAAAAATCGCTTTTTAACTAAACGAACAAAAAGAAGGGGAAAAAAGCGAAAAAGAAAAAATACAAATATGGAGTTTTGAATGTTACATAAGGTCGATAAGGTCGAAATAACGAGAACAGAGAACATGAAACCTACACGAACCTACACAAAAGCCGCATCTACATACATACACATACGCGACCACATACGAGAAACGAATGCGAGAGTGAAGAACATGAACATTTTGTATCTGTACTTGTAGATACAACGCAATAGGCAAGAGTAAAATCTAATTAAGAATTCAAATGAAATTAATATATAGAAGAGCTGTATGTAATTAATTGTAAGTTCATTCATCGCTATGATATTATACTTAGGTATTATATGATTTTTGAAATAAAACATTTGTTTTAAATACACACGAACGTACACGAGAATAATGCCATCCCGAACATGCCATATCGAGATCGACGTCATACTTTCCATACGTTATTTTCCATGTGTGTGTGTGTCTCGATCGACTTTAATTTGTACCTGGTTTGCGTCTCAAGTAGTTTTCCATCAGTCTCTTGACCAGCCGTGCATCGTCAATCAAAGCGAAGTTACGCAACGTATGCGGAATCGTAGATTTTATACACGCATTCTTGTATACGACGACACGCTCTAATCGCGTCGTGTCTAATCAAACGAGATCTGAATTTGATTTCGATCGTTTTCAGGTAACACGACGTCTAGGAACCTCGGCGAGTCGTGAGTATATTTTTCTTACAGGTTTACTCGTAGTGGATCTCCTCTAGTAGCACAACGCATTCCCCGGCGTGACAGTATTCTGCACCGAATTTTCGTAACTAATATACTCTTTATTTCTCCTGCTGGTGCTTCTTCGTAGCAAAGATACTCCCACTCTCGATCGTTCACCTGGCGAATCTGATACGAAACATCATAGACAAACTTTATTTTTTTTTTTTTTTTTCAAATACTCTTTACAGACAAACTTTATTTTAAAAAGAAAAAAAAAAAGATATTCCTCTTGCGGATGAAGAGTATTCTTTTTTTTTTCCTTCTTCTTCTTTTTTAAATTAGAGTTCTGTTCGTTACTCGAACAAGTGGAAACGGCAGGGAAACGATCGAACGAAAGATGGACGCGTTCGACAATTTATCTATCGGTATTTACCATAATTATGTACCAGGAGATCGGACAGAATCCGAGACATAGCGGATCCGGCAGCGAGCGTTAGTCTACTTCGTTTTGAGAAATCGAAAACCGCAGACGAAACCGATAGGCGAAGGCAAGCTTTTCTTCTACTTCTTTCATGCAAAGTAAAAAACAAAAAAGAAAAAAAAGAAACGAGATACGGAACTCGAAAGCTTACGCCCTTACAACGTTAACGTCGAGCCATCATCTTATGGAAAATACCGAGATAATTTTCATCGGATTCGCGTGTTAACACAATTCGCGTCGCGTGTAACAAATAACATTGATTACAACGAGCGGCGTATAAATTATCTTGTTTAAAATGTTAATTGCCAATCGAACTCCAGTTCCAATGAATTTAGCATGTGATTATTCACATTCGTAAATTATTCTGCTTGAGGAGAACACGTTAATTGATTATAAATTTTACAGTGACGGCTGAAATTTCAATTAAAATCCAATCGCTTGTTCCGCTTCCTCGAACGACACGCGAAACTCGCGACGTTGCGAGTCTTATTTACACCGATTCCGGACACAGTTTATGAATCTTTCAAGGAAATTATATCGGAATCATTGCAATTGTCACTTATTATCGCACGATTTGCACGTTTGCTTAATCATGTTTCTCGCCCCTCCCCCCTCCACCTCTTTTTCGCGACACGCATGCTTATTCATCATGCTTCAATTGCACTGTTCTGGTTGCATTCAGTTTTTCCAAGTTCGGTATTACGTTTTAATAACCACTAAGATAAAAAGTGAAATCTGTTATTTACATCAGATCGTGCCATAACGAATTGGTTTCTCTGTGCAAGAAACTCTCAAACAGTCGAACGTAATCGTGAACTTTGACACGTACGTAACACCAATGTTATTTTCGTGTTTGCTCATTTCTTCTTCTTTTTTTTTTTTTTTTTTTTTTTTT